GCTATAGCTCGCCAGCCCTCCCTGGGATTTTGAGGAGAATCCACTGGTCACTTTCCCCAGTGTGTTTTTAATTTTCTATTTCAAGTAAGGCATCTCCCAAGGAAAGTTCTAAAGAAGTCTTCCCTACTATAAAAATGTGCATACCCTTTGACCTAGCAATAGTACTTCTAGGGCTGTATCCTAAAGAGATCATTAAAATGGGAAAAGGACTCACATGTACAAAAATATTTATAGCAGCTCTTTCTGTGGTGGCAAAGAATTGGAAATTGAAGGAATGCCTATCAACTGGGGAATGGCTGAACAAGTTGTGATATATGAATGTAATGGAATACTATTGTGCTATAAGAAATGATGAACAAGGGGGGCAGCTAGATGGCACAGTGGACAGAACACTGGCCCTGGAGTCAGGAGGACCTGAGTTCAAATCCGGCCTCAGACATGTAACACTCGCTAGCTGTGTGACCCTGGGCAAGTCACTTAACCCCAACTGCCCTCACCCAAAAAAAAAAATCCTTTAAGGGGCAGCTAGGTGGCTCAGTGAATAGAGCTCTGGCCTTGGAATTGGGAGAACCTGAGTTCAAATCCAGTCCCAGATACTTAATACTTACCAGCTGTGTGACCCTGGGCAAGTCACTTAACCTGACCACCTCACCAAAAAAAAAAAAAATGATGAGCAAGCCAACTTGAGAAAAACGTGGAAAGACTTATATGAACTGAGGTTAAGCGAAATGACCAGAATCGGGCCACGTTGTGCAATGACTAACTTGACAGATTTAGCTCTTCTCAGCAATGCAAGGATCTAAGACATCTGCAAGGGTCTCTTAATGGAGAATGCTGTCCATAACCAGAGAAGGAACTGTGGAGTTTGAATGTGGGTCAGAGCATACTGCTTGCTCTTTTTTTTCCTTCTTCTTCTTCTTCTGCTTTGTTTTGTTTCTTCTTTCTTGTAGTTCCTCCTATTGATTTTAATTCTTACTTACAACATCTCTAATGTGAAAATATGTTTAGTAGGAATGTATACGTATAGCCTATATCGGATTGCATCTTATGGAAGGGGGCAGGGAGGGAGGGGGAGAAAATCTGTTTATGGAAGTGGTTGCTGAACACTAAAAATAATTAATTTAAAAATAAAATAAAATTTCCTTTAAAAAAAAAAGAGAAGCCTGCCCTATAGCACAGGATGGAGGCTTCCCTATGAAACAAGGTGGGGAAGCGTGCTGGGTCCCAATGTGGCCTGGAGCAGTTTTACCAGAGTGGCTAAGGGGTGGGTCGGGGAAAGCAGCCCAGGGCCCTCTTTTCTTTCTCTTGACACCCTCCTCGGCATCCATGGGTCTAAGAATCAGCTCTACGCAGACACCTTCCAGGTCTGCATTATACGATGGTTTTCTTCCTGTGTTCCTGGCCTATCTCACTAACTACCTATGGAACATTTCAAACTGGATATCCTGTAGGCATCGAAAACTCAACACGTACCAGGGAAAACTCATCACCTCCCTGACTACACTCACCCCTCTAGGAGTACAGGTTTGTAACTGCAGAATCCTCTTCCCTATCGCCCACACTCAGCCAGCAGCTCAATCTCATTGACCGGTGCTCCTCTGTCCTCATGGAAGTGCTCCAGCAGTCTGCTCCTCCCCTCTCCAATGAATGCACCCTTCACACGGCTACCGAAGGGAGATCCCCAAAGCACAGCGCCGCCCACAGCCCTCCCCTGCTCAAGAAGCTCCAGGGGCTTCCTCCTGCCTCGAGGCTCAAATATAAACTCATTCTGTTGTGCACTTAAAGCCTTTCACCACCTGGCCCCAATCCATCTCCCGAGGCCTGTTATCCTTCATTCCCCTTCCCACAGTGCATGGTCTGGCCAAAGTGGCCTTAGTGCTGCCCATCGTCCTATCTCCCATGCCTGACACTACCCACGTCTCCCTTCTCATCCAGCCTGGTCCTCCCCCTCCCTCCCAGCTGTTTCGGGGCCTTTGGGCAGGTCTGCACCCTTCTTTTGTATCTCGTCATTGTCTATACTGTTTCCCCACACAGAATGTAAGCTCCCGGAGGGCAGAGACTGCCATTTTGTCGTTGGTATTCCCAGTATCTACCTAGCATAGTGCCTAGTCCATGGGAGGGGCTCAGTCAACACCAACCCAGTTCTGACATTTATTACTTAGACGAGCTTGGGTAAATGATGTAACCTTTCTGGGCCTGGTCTCTTCATCCTGTTTTACAGATGAAGAATTAGATCAGATGACCTCAAGGTCTCTTCTAGCTTTAAGGCTGAGACCCTTCCAGCTTATTTTTCATTCAAAGAGTGAGAGCAGATTCAGCTCTAAAAATATCCACGTCCTGGGGTACGGGTCGGTTCTCGTTCAAACGCCTGCCCATGAGACAACATTAATGCAAAAAGTCCCACCAATCAAAGCTGTTCCTCCATGTGCTTTCCGCAGAAATTCTATTTTAATCTCATCTCCACTTGCTCAGAACTTCCTGCAAAGTCATGATTTAGGACAGCAACTCTCCACGCCTGGCCTGTGCCAAAAAGGTGAATCATTTTGGAAAGTATGTGTGTGCTAACAAACTCGATCGCTTTAAAATAGGGAAAGATAAAACTACTGGTTTTCTGAGTCCTTCAATAAAATGTTTGGAAATGATATTTTTCAAGAACAACAACAACAACAACAAACAGGGAAAAGTCAAAGTTTAGCATTTAAAATATGAGATAGGACTTAAAAGACATGCTAAGCTTAATTACTAAACCACTTATGATTAGTTGCTACTACCTTTTTCCTTACAATCTCTGGGAAGAGACCCAAATGCTCCCACCTTGTTTCACAAATTGAAAAATAAAAGAAATTGATACCAAGAGAACAAGAAATATGCCCAAATTCAGGCAAGTCAGGATTTGAGTCCTGATTGAAACTCAGTGCTCCTTTGTGTTGACTGGATTTGGGTTTTGCCTTTTTACCTTTCTTTGTATTTCCATAGCTAGCACATAGAAGGCACTTAATAAATGTTTGACTTGACTTTTTTTTTCTCTTGACTGATTTTTTTTCTCTTATTCTACTTTTTCTTTCCTCTTTCAAAAAAACCTCTTTATTATAAGGGATAACTCTGAAAGAGGGAAGAATACAAATTGAAATCTAAGTCATACAAAAACAAAATATATCAATAAAAACAGATTTTTATAAAATTCAGTGTTGTTAATTTCTAGGAAAGCACTTACCAATAGTCTACATTCAACCTGAATTGAAGCTCTAAAAACTCAAGACAAAAATTTAAAAAAAAATTTTTTTTGCCATGTTCTCAAATACTTTTGGATGGCTGGAGGGACATATGCTGCCCCCTCCTGGCTGAACATATATTACACAGATACTAGATGACGCCTGGAACTAGCCTTATTTAATTGTATAAGAATAAAATTGGTTTCTTTTTTAATTCTATGTATTTTATCTTATTGCATTTTAAAACATTATTCCAAGAAGGGGTCCACAACACAGAAAAGGTTAAGAGCCCTTGTTCTAGATGCCGACTCTGTCTTTAAGAAAAGAAAAAGAAGGGCCAACATGGTTTTTAAGTAAATGATGTAGGAAATCGGTGGCAGAAAAACCACAGTAACACAAATAAGAAGGTCAACATACTGAAGATGCAGGAAATTCAGTGTTTTCTAACAGCAACATGAATTTGCCATGCTCCATCTTCTGTATGAATGGTTTTCAGTCCCTGGTAAAGTTACCCAGAGGCCTCTCTTAGTGACCATGGAGGCCACGTGAGCCATGACTTCAGAGGCAGGTGTCCTTGAAAACCTGGGCTGTCTTCATGTAATAGAACAGAACGCAACGCTCTATTAATGTAACTCATTTCACTCAGACCTTCACTTACATTACCATTGATTGCTGGTGTTGTGTTGGTCTCTATGGGTCAATTCGATAATCCAAACCAACAAAATTCAAACTTGCTTACTGATCATCAAAAATACTGCTCTTCATGAAGACCGCTCTAACAGACTAATGAAATTTGCTCGAGCTGCAAACAACCTCGGGAAATCACAAGCACACGGCTCTTACCAACATCTAACCCGAGTCCAGTCAATTTGACACGTATGACACCTAGAGTACATTTGAGTTACATTAAATAATTCCTATCCATCAACTCAAAACCGACAGTTAGACTGAATTCCCTCTTGCGAACCAGAGGCCTTTTTGGGAGTCCAAGGCTTCTCAGGCTGTTTGCTTTCTCAGATGAATATACTGAAGAAGAAGGAAATGACTTACCCAAGGCCAGAAAGGCACAGCAATGAAAAAATGACTGGCAGGCTACTCCACCATGCCTACCTGCCTAGCCTGTTTTCTCTGAGGATGCTCTTATGTGTCACTGCTGACCTCTTCAATTTAAATACAAGTTGCCTCGCACTATGAGGATGCTCTCATGTGTCACTGCTGACCTCTTCAATTTAAATGCAAGTTGCCTTGCACTACGAGGATGCTCTCATGTGTCACTGCTGACCTCTTCAATTTAAATGCAAGTTGCCTCGCACTATGAGGATGCTCTCATGTGTCACTGCTGACCTCTTCAATTTAAATGCAAGTCGCCTCGCACTACACGGATGCTCTCATGTGTCACTGCTGACCTCTTCAATTTAAATACAAGTCACCTCGCACTACGAGGATGCTCTCATGTGTCACTGCTGACCTCTTCAATTTAAATACAAGTCGCCTTGCACTACAAGGATGCTCTCATGTATCACTGCTGACCTCTTCAATTTAAATACAAGTCGCCTTGCACTACAAGGATGCTCTCATGTGTCATTGCTGACCTCTTCAATTTAAATACAAGTCGCCTCGCACTACAAGGATGCTCTCATGTGTCACTGCTGACCTCTTCAATTTAAATACAAGTCGCCTCGCACTACACAGGTTTTAGCCAGGAGGATGGACTTCTAACTCTCGTCTGTCTGTAAGGCCCCAAACTTCTGAGAAAATTGCTTTCAAATATAGTGAAGGTCATCTTACCTGACCTCTTCACCGGCAAAATCAAACACCTTGGTGATTTTAACTTTTTCTCTTTCGCTAGGTTTCTCTGACTCTTTCGCTGTCACGAGGGATTTGTTTGCACTCTTCTCTTGGCCTTCTCCCTCTGTCTATGAAACACAGCAAAAAGTCCAATCAGTTCCACCAGGTGGTGAGAGTCCCAACAGATGGATCCCAGCAGGGGCTCACAGCTGGTTCACCTCTCACATAAATAAAACCTCATAAAGGAATTTTGTTCCTACAAAGAAGATGCCTCTTCAACAAGAACAACAGAGAGAGTGCTGTGACCCCACCCAGATTCTGAGCTTTGTCATGTGGAGGGGATGCTTTACTTCCCACCTGTAGCAAGACTAGAGACAACACGGGCAACCTGATTTTTACCATCAATTTTAAACCCCAGGTTGGGGGTAACATTCTCTTTGGCGCTCTCTGCACTCACCTTTGCTTGGCTTCTAGGAGGCCGCGCTTGTGATTTTGGTCCCACGTCGCTGAGGAAGCTCGCCCAGAGGGCATCATCTTGTCTTTTTCTTTCCTCCTCCGATGGAATGCCTTCTTCCGGTTCTACTGATTTCTCTTTCTCTTCCTCTTCACCACTATTTTCCTCTGTTTCTGCTTCTACCTTGTCCTCTGTCTCCTTGTCTTCCATTAGCAGCCCACCTTTTTTTCTCTTCCTGGGTACCGAGAGAGTCAGAAAAGGAAAAGAGAGGCAATATAGGGTAATGGAGCAAAACTTTGATCATTCTAATTCTTACAGTTATCTTAAAGAATTCTGTGCTATGCAAGTTTGGGGAAAACTGATCATCACAAAGTTGTTTTGAAGATTCTAAGTTCAGACTAAAAGGATTAGAGGAGGTGGTGATCTTATTTTTAGTATTAACCAGTCAACAAGCATTTCTTAAATACATAATCCTAATGATGGTAACTAGTATTTAAGTAGCACTTTATTTATGTTACCTCATCTCATGCTCAAAACAACCCTGAGAAGAGGGTGCTATCCCCCTCAAAGTGAAATGACTTGCCCCTGCTGGTCACAATCTAAGTAAGGATGTGAACTCGGGTCTTCCTGACTCCAAGCCCAACACTCCATCCACAGCACCATTCAGCCACTTCTGGTGCCTTCCTATACTCCAGACCAGGGTGGGGAACCCGCAGCTTTAAGGCCACATGTGGCCCTCTAGGTCTTCAAGTGCAGCCCTTTGAAGTTTGGATTCAGTGAAAGGGCTGCACTTGAGGACCTAGCGGGCCACACGTGGCCTCGAGACCGCAGCTTCCCCAGTCCTGCTCCAGACGCTGTGCTGAGTACCTGAGACACAAATACAAAAGCAGGTGCTACCTTCAGGGTGCTTACAATCTAGTTAGGAAGATAACACAGTTCTAAGCCGGTAATAAAAGACAGAGAGGGGGGAAACACAAGTAGATGTGGAGACCCAGCAAAGCCCTCCTTCCTGCAGGGGCTAGTGCTCCAGCTGAATCTTACAGGAAGCTAAGGATTCTACACAAGGGGAGAAGGCATCCCAGGCAGGGGAGAACACCAGGGAAAAGGCAAGGAGTGAAGAGATGGGGTGTCATATATGAAAAAAAGCCAGTGGGCCAGGATGGCTGGATGGCAGAGGACATGGAGGGAGTAACGTGTTAAAAGACCAGAAAGATGAAAAAGGACCAGACAGGAAGACGAATTGACATTTGATCCTAGGGGTACTAGGGAGCCGCTGGAGTTTACTGAGAAAATGGGGTAATTTGGTTGAATGTGTACTCCAGAAAAATCACTGGGTGATCTCATCAGCCCCATGAGTTCAATCCTCACATCCATGCAGACAGTTCTCAGCTCTATTTATCTATCCCTGGTCCCTACTGAGAGTCAGCTCTGTACCAACATCTATCTCCTGAACATTTCAGATACACAGGTCCAAAATGGAAGCCATTGTGTCTTCTCCCAAACCCGCCCCTCCCCTACATTTACTACAGAGGGCACCATCCTCCTTCCTGTCCCTCATGTCCATGGCTTTGGCATCATCCTCACTTCCTCTCTCTCCTTTTATGGATTCAATCAGTTGCCAAATCTTTTGCAATTTGTTTTTCTGCAGTATCTCTTGCTTACCTCTTCTCTCTACTTACACAGCTACCACCCTAATTCAGACCCTTATCACCTCCACCCTCAACTACTACAATAACCTTAAATTTTTTTTAACTTTCTAAAATGTAATTTTTGTTGCTATCTCTTATTTTTACATCAACTAATTACCTCTGTGCATTTTCTCCCCTCCCTCTCCCAGACAGCCATCCCATACAACAAAGAATATTTTTAAAAGGAAAAAGAAAAGAAAAATAGGAAAAGAAAAGAGAGCAGCACTAGGGCAAAGCCTTGGGCACACTTTCAGCTAGCAGGCAAGACATGGATGAAGACCCAGCAAAGAAGACTGAGAAGGAGTGGTCAGACAGGCAGGCTAATTCATGCTAACCTATCCTGATCTGCTCTAGCCCTGAACATTTTCAAATGAAAGGGAATAAATGGGTATAATCTTGCTGTAGACTGAAAAGGAAGGAAGCAGAAAAGTACTGAAATTTTATGAACTGAAAGAGGTTAATTTAAACGTAAACAGTTATTAGACAAGTATAGTTGTTTGTGTGGATTATTATTATATAACAAATATAAATCATCATCATAATAAATATATCATAAAAATAAAATTCATTCTTTCATTTCACTGCCTCTGTTTTGAGGAAAACGTACATTACTGAACCATGAGAATGGGTAATAAAAATTATATCTCAAAGTATATTGTCTTCATATCACAGGCATTGGTGGGGTGGGCAAACCAACACCTCCCCCTCACTTCCAGACAGAAGCATCTCTTGTGACCTGATATGATGCTTGCAATCTTTCTTAGAGGGGCAGCTAGGTGGCACAGTGGAGAGAGCACCAGCCCTGGAGTCAGAAGGACCTGAGTTCAAATCCACCCTCAGACACATGATACTCACTAGCTGTGTGACCCTGGGCAAGTCACCTAACCCCAATTGCCTTGCCAGAAAAAAAAATCCTTCTTAGTGGTCCCCATAACGACTGATCCTTTCAGAATGGAGTCACTATTCATATAAATCACCCCTATTCCCCTAGATTCTGGGTCTATTTCTCCCTCCTTCCCCTGGCCTTAAGTCTTTTCTTTCATATCATCTCAGAGAAGCAGTTTGTCAGGCACTAATTTTTTTTTTTTAATCCAAGCAGGACAGAAGGGTCTGAGCTTGTAAACTCATCCCTTAGCAATGCATGAGAGAGCAGAAAGAGTACCAGGCTTGGAACCAAGTGAAACCTGTGTTTGAAAACTGTGCCAGGCACTCAGACAAGCTTGGCCAACCTTAAGCAAGTCACTCCATCCCCTCTCTGGGCTCCTGGTTCTTCTTCAGCATGGCCCACTTTACAGGGCCAGAAGGATCAAATAAGATCCACAGAAAAGTTGGGGACTAAAGGTATACAATATATTCATAGTAAAGGAAGGATCAGACCAAGGGTCTCGTATAAGTACAATGGTTTAAGCCATCTTCATTTCAGACCAGGAATTCATTAATACTTGAAATCTTATTTTCCTTTCCATTAACTAAATTTGTTCTTTTGCTCCACACAATCTAAGAGAAAGCAAAAGGATGGCTGTTTTCTAGTTGAGCTCAAGCCCCCAACACGGAGCAACTGAAAAGCTGGAAGCCTTCAAGGGCCATCATTGGTGTCACCCAGAAGAGTCACTACTAAAAGCACACATGAATGTGGGAGGGACCAAATGCCAGGAGCTCACCACAGAGTACGAGGCATGGAGGAAGCCAGGTTACCTGGGAATGATTCCCGGAGACTTCTTTTTGTTGTCTTTAGAACTCCTTTTTTTGCCTTTGTCTTTCTGTGCCTCCTCTTCATCTTGTACTTCATCTTCCTTCACTAATTCACTCACATCATCTTCACTATATTCTCCACCTGAAACCACACAATGTAATTAAAACAGTAACCAACTTGGCCCAAGGATGGGCCAAATAAGAAACCACCCACCAAATAAGAAACTTTCCCAGTAAGAAATGATCAGTGGCGATCAAAGATGACAGAACAGAGGAAGCAAGACAGCCTAGATCTTTCATACAACTACTCCAGCAAACATTGAGGAAGATGAGCATCACACCAAGTGGTTATTGCGAAATCCAAAGGAAACAACAGCAAGTACCTTTTTGCAGCCCAGGATGGCACAAGAGAAAGCCAGAGACCTGTAGACACTAGAGAAGAAGACAGGCAGGAAAATTCAAGGTTCCCAGCATGCTGACTGGGGCTGAGGCCCAGCACACAAGACCAAGGGGAAACAGTAGCTAGGAAGCCTGGATGCCTGACTGTGAACATGGAGCCTTTCCAGTCCAGGAAAGGTCTTGAGCCTGTAATTCTAGAAAAAAAAGTCTGTAGTATTTTGGATCTAAGCTGGTGGAGCCTTAAAGTATACTCACAGGAGATGGGCAGGAGCTGTTTACTTGAGTTCCAATCAGGTATTAGTCTGTAAGTAGGTCATTCAGACCCTGAACTGGGGTTAGGAGTGTGAAGAACTAAAACTGGAAAAGCAGCCAGCAGAATGCACCCCGAATCAAACTATACAGGGCATTAAAAATCTGCAGCGACCTAAATATCCCAAAACAGCAGAAGCACCTCAGATAATATTGAGCCAAGACCAAAAACGGCCCCACCATTCCCACCAAAAGTGCACAGGGTCTGGCCATGAGCCAAAGTCCCAATTCAGAAAGACCAGAAAAAAGAATAAACAAAAGATGCCAACACAAAAGAAAGAATATAGGAATAGCCAAGATATAACACCAGAAGAAGAAAATAGCTAATTATTCGTCTACTTTATTGGTTTTTCAAAAACCAGATTCAAATTTTTTTGTTGATTCAACGGGGGTGTTTTTGCTTTCAATTTTTAATCTCTTGTTTGATTTTCAGACTTTCTATTTTGATGTTTAGTTGGGGTTTTCTGATTTGTTATTTTTCTAGCTTTTTTTTTTAATAGAACGTCCAATTCATTGCTCTTTCTCTCCTTCATGGTTGATTATGTTGAGATATATACATTTTCCCTAAAGCACTGCTTTGGCTACATTCCCAAAATTTCCATTTTTCTCATTTTCTTTGATCAAAATTAATTCAAAGTTAGAGGAGTTGGTCAACTGGGAAAAAGTCTTTTTATCAAGTTTCTCTGATAAAGGCCTTATATCCAAGATATATAAGGAACTGACAGGACATATACACAAATACATATATTACCCATATGCATGCACATATAAAACACATCTCTCTATATATACATACACATGTAAGTATGTATGTATATAAATGCACCATTCCCCAATAGATAAATAAATGATCAAAAGATATAAACAGGAAGAAATCCATGCTATCAACAGATATATGAAGAAAATGCTCCAAATAATTAATAATTAGAGAAATGCAAATTCAGGTAACTCTGTGGTTCCATCCATCACACTGGCAAATAAGACCCAAATAAAAAGGAAAATTATTATTGTTGGAGGAACTGTAGGAAACAGGCACATTAATGTATAGTTGCTGAGAAAAGCAAAATCATCGTGGGGGCATGTTGGGATGAAATTGGAAGGAGAATCAAACAGAAGAAAGATGGAAAAGATCTGTAGAGATTTTTGTAACAAACTCTTTTCATACTGAAGATGAGTAGAGCCACCACATTTGGATTATAATATCTCAGTTGTAGAAATGGCACTAAGTGGGAAAACAGAAAGAATATAAACTCCTACAGAGCAGGTTCTGTTTCTTTTTTTTAACCTTTGACTCCCCAGCACTTAGCACAGAGTCTGATACATAGCAGGTTCTTAGTAATTTTCTGCTGGTTCACTGAACAGCAACTGGATTTGACCAAAAATACAGAGGAGAAATTTACGGGAGGCACCCAATTGTAAGAACGCTAATGGATTGATTCACAAAGTATCCAATGGAGAAGACCATACCTTAAAATATCCCAAAAAGACAATCAACAGAACATTGAGCATCTGCCAACCTAGATGACAACTTTCCCATCTACATAATTTTTTGAGAATAACACTGGGAACATCCTTGGTGAAGGTATCAGTAGGAAATACACAGGTTTTGACAACTGGTATTCCACAATTGATCATATCTTTACCATCCACAATTGACTGTAGATGTAAAGAATACAAAATATCATTGTACTCATTTTTTGACTACAGAAGCACCAGATTGCAAAACTCAGTTTTAAAAACTTTCTAATAAGGTGCCCCTCCACATAAATAGAGCTTACACAAGATTCTCTTGTAGAACAGTGGAAAGAGTCCTGACTCTGCCCACTTAGTACTTGTGTGACTTTGACCAATTTACTCCTCTTCTCTGGGCCTGTTTCCTCACTTTACAAAATGATGGGTTGGCTAAATGATCTCTGAAGTCACTAAATCTTATTTATCTTAATTACTGTCCCTGTTCCCCCTGGAGGTAGCAGAGCATAATGGAAAGAGCACTGAACATGGCGATAAAAGACCTGGGTTCAAATGACCACACAGGTCATTCCATCTCCTCCCCTCAGCCTCCTGAATTCCCTCTAGGCTACCTGGTTGCCTTTAAAACTGAGCTCAAGTACCACCTCAGGAGGCATTTCCTCCATCTCCTCCCCCTCCCCCCATCCCTGGTTTACTTTGTATTTATTCTGCACATATTTTACATTTGGTTATCTGTGTCCATGTTGCTCTCCTCTTCTCCAGTAGAATGTACATTATGATAAACGCTTGTTAAAACGGAAGTTGTTGACATGCTAGCTCTGCTTATTAAGAGTAACAGTAATAATAATATAATAACAAACATAAAAATAATAATACATAACACTTTAATGATAATAATAGCACTTTAAGGTTTGCAGAGTACTTTACAAATATTACGTCATTTTAAGCAAATCACTACCTTTGGTGGGCCTCAGTTTTCTTATCCTACTTATCCAGGGCTTAACAGCGCCCAGAACAAAGTTGACTTGTCTTGATTTATTAACTGTACAGTAAGGGAGTTGATTTGAGCTCAATTTCCATCTCTAAATTTGATGATCCTTCTGTTAAATACTAGAAGGCACAGGCACTATATGCAAAAATGTTATAAATTTTACTTGGAAATAAAAATTTTATCCTCTATTTTCTTTGCTTTATGGATTTAAAAAATGTACTGCATCAGCTGACGCAGCTGAACAAGTCCTTCGGCCTTAAATTCCAGTCTTTCTAGGGTCGGAATGCTGCAGCAGGAATTCCTACAATGAATGAATGAGTGAATGAATGAATGAATGGGTGAGTGACCTCGGGCATCTCTCCCAGCTTCTTTTCAGACTCAGCCCTGCCTAGATTTCCGTCAGGCTCGCGCGGCGTGGGAATGCAGGGATGCGCTCAGGAATGCTGGGAGTGGTCCTCCCTCCGCCCCCGGGCCGCCGCTCGGGATGTGCAGGTGAGGAGCGCCCAGCTCCGGGCACGCGTCTCCCCGGAGACCGGCCAGAGAGGAAAGAAACACACTCCCACGGGAGGGGCGGGAGGGAGTCCGGAGGGCAGAGCGCGCGAGCGACTGGGGGTGGGGAGGGGGGAAAAGGGGGAGGCCGCGCGTGCGCGGGGGGAACCGGGCGCGCGCTCCGGGCGGGGCGGGAGCACAGGGGAGGGGGAGGCGGCGAGAGAGGCGGCCGAAGCCCGAGGGGGCGGAGCGGTGCCGGACCGGGCCGCCGCTCTCTTTCTCTCTTCGTGTCGCGCGCAGACCGGCGGCGATCCCTCACCGGAGGGCACGTAGTCTTCGTCTTCCTCGGATGACGAGAAATCCTCTGAGTCGTAACCGTCCATGGTGTCGCAACCTGGAGCCTGCCTGCAGGACCGAAGGCGCCGCCACCGAGAGGCCAAATCCCGAGGGAAGAACCATAGAGAGGAGGGAAGGCGTGGGTAGAGAGGCCCGGAGGGCTCTGCGCGTGCGCAGTAAGAGCCGGAACCGGCCTGATGCGTCACTTCCTGGCCGGAAGTCAGCGAGACTGGAGGATCTCAATAGCAATGTTGGGGCTTTGTGAGCACGCGCTGGTGCTGGAAATTGCAGCAGTGTGTGTGAGGAAGGAAGGAAGGGGAAAGTTGTCAGGAGAGCACGTGTTTCTCCATCGGTAGGCAACGTGCGCCATCTCCTTGGGCTTGACCTAGGTTGGTGCCTTATTCTGGGCAACTTATGGAGCGTGCCATAGCCCGAGTTAATTGGTTATGAATAGCTGGAGGTGAAACTGGGCAAACAATAGGGGCTAGGGAATGGATCTGTGATTTTATTAGTAAAGGGAGCTTCCAGATGTAGACGCTCCTCCTAGAATGCGCCTCCAGCATTTCCTGAATTAGTTTGTAAGTAGTAGTTCTGACTTTTTATGCGGTTTATAGGCTTAGAGGCTTTCCTAGGGCACTGGTTAGTGATTTGCCCAGTCATGCAGCTAACATTTATTAACTGCCAGCAGTGTACCAGGCGCTGTGGAGAACAAAGGAAGACAGAAAACAGCCCCTGCTCTCCTTCGGGAGCTCTCAGTCTCGTGGGGGAGACAGCATGCAAACAACTGTACTTAAACGAGCGAGAGAGTGCATAAATTGGGTGTATTCTCAGAGGGAAGGCAGTAAGATTAAGGGAGACTGGGAAAGGATTGAGCCAGAGGTGGACTCCGACCCAGGTTTTCCTGGTCCCAGAGCTGGCTCTCTATCCACTATACCTCACTGACTTTGATCACAAAAGGTAGTTGAAATTTGAAATTAAAAAAAAAAATTAAGCCCAGGTCCATGATTTCAAACTGATAAGGCTTGCCTACAATCGCAAAGAAAGGTTGTGCTAGAGGCAGGACGTGTACCAAAGCTTCTGTGACTTCAAGGCTGGACTTTTATCCACGCCTCCTGGCTTCCTTATGACACTGCACAGTCCCCACCCTGTGTCTTTTCTTTGGCTGGAGCTCATACCTGGCACGCTGTCCCTCAACTCAAGCCTTTTGACTTCTTTCAAGATACACCCAGGTCCCATCCATCTCAGGAGGTCTTTCTTGATCCCTTCCCTATCTTCCCTCTGAGATTACTTTCCATTTACAGCATATATCTTGTATATACATTATTTGTCCATTGTCTTCCCCATTAAGATGTGAGGTCCTTTAGGGTAGACTTTTTGCCTTTCTTTGTGTCTCTTGCAGAGAGCTTAATAAATGCTTGTTGACTGACTGCACCCTGCACATCATTTTAAGATTGAGAAGAAAGTATCCTTTGCTTTTTAAAATGTTTTAAGTGGTATGATATGCCTTTAATCTGGGCATGCTTTTTTTTGTATTGATGTTTATCTCTTGGTACGGTAGTCTTCCCTTTAAAAACTCTCCTTCGGGAACCTTTCTCAACTGCACGGAGCAGCCCTCCCATCCCCCTACAGGGACTAGCACCAGCAGTCAAACAGCACCTTGTCTGTGTTCTGTGTCCCAACTAGATTGTAACTGGAGAACAGGGATTGTCTACATCTCACGTAGTCAGTATTCCTTGATACTTCGCATTATTTAGCTGGCAGACAATGATTTTTACCAGCATTTGTTGACGTTAATACTTCTTAACAAAGATAAAGTTTTCTGGTTATCTTTTCTCAGATTTTGTTACCAGTAGTAGAAAATAACACAGGATAGGATAATGTAGATGGGATGATATAGAATAAGTGTACATTTCCTAATGCCAGTTAAGGTGAGTTTCTACCAGAATATTTGAAATAGTTAAAATGTGCCAGAACACACCAGCACAAGGGATAAAGTGAAGATTTTAAATCATTGAACTTGGGTTCAAATCCTCTCACCCTAGGCAAGTCAATTTATGTCTGGGCCTGTTTCTTCATCTATAAAATGAAGGGGTTGGACCATTCAGCTTCTAAGTTCTCTCCCAGATCTAAAATCTATGAGAGGCAATGTGGGATAGTAGAGTGCTAGGCCTGGAATCAGGAAAAAGGGTTTGAATCCTGCCTTACTTAGTAGCTGTGTGAGCCTGGGCAATTCAATTCACTTTCATAACCTCAGTTACCTCATCTGTAAAATGAGGTGGGTTTCAATGACCTCTTAGGTCATCCTAACTCTTTGATCCTTTCACAGTTCTAAATCTATGATCCTATGAACTATAAATCTGTGATCTATGGACAAATATTAAGTGCTTCCTATGTGCCGGGCACTGCTATAAGTACTGGATATGCAGAAACAACTTCTGTCCTCAGGGAGCTTACATTCTAACAGGGGAGAACAACATATATAAGGCCGAGGGTTGTTTTGGTGTGGAACATCACAGGGCTGGTGAATGGAGTCACCATTTCACATGGCCTTTGGAAAAATAGTTAGGAGTTTATTTGATTACTGTACTCAGAGCTAGAAATGGAAAGGGTTAGGGATGGAGTTGGAGGGTATAGCTGTCCTGCAGCACAGCAGGAAAAGAAGTGCTTTGTCATGTCAGACTCTCCATGGCCCTATTTGGGATTTTCTTGGCACAGATGCTAGAGTGGTTTGCCACATCCTTCTCTAGCTCATTTTACAGATGAGGAAACTGAGGCAGACAGGGTTAAGTGACTTGCCCAAAGTCACACAGCTAATAAATGTCAAGTATCTGAGGCCAGATTTGAACTTAGGTCCTCCTGATTCCAGGGTTGTTGCTCTATCCCCTGCACCACTTAGCTGCCCCAAAGCAAATAATAGCAATAAGAATTTTCTAATTGGGGGCTACCTTGGAGAAAACAAGGTGAGTTTTAAGCTCATTGCTTAACCTCTGTGAGCCTTCCACTTCCTTTTTTGTAAGATGGAAATAACCTCTACTTCATGGGCTTATTATGGGCTCAAATGAAATAACATTAAGTAAAGCAATCTGCAAAGCTTAAAGGTCTAAACGAATAAACCGTCTCTGAATATTTTTACATATCCATTTTAGTGCCCTGTGATGTAGATTAATTACTTCCAAATCGAGCCATTCTAAAATTCAGAAATGTATATTTTCCATTTCTATCTTGGCTATTAGAGTACTGGACTTGGAATCAGGGCACTAATGCATGTCAAGCAATTTGCAAACTTTTCAAGTCTTAGAGAAATGGGACTGATTATTATTATTGACCATCCAGCATCACTGAAGCCTTCCATACCTAGCAGTTTGTCTCACCATTAATACTGCTAAAACAAATTTCAGAAAAGGATCAATAATTGGTTTGAGTTGAGGCAAACAAATCCTGTATGACAGCCGTATGACAACAGTGTCTGTTGACATTTCATCTCACATTTAGTATTCAGTCACATCTTTGAACAACAGCTCAAAAGCCAAGAAATTCACTTAAAGAGATAGAAAATACAACACAAGATAGTACAAGGGTGATAGTCTTGTAAGTTAAGTAGAAAAACCATATGAGAGAGTCATTGTCTGGGGTGAAGTCTGCACGGATCTGGTCACCTTGTAGCAATCTTAAAAACATTCAGCAATATAGTCATTCCCTATCGGCACCAAAGAAATAAAGCTCCAGCCAGAAATAAAGTAATTTTTATTGGTAAACGTTGACACCAGCATTAGAAATGTCAGTAGAAAAATAAAATTTCAGTTGTTTTCTCTCATACAAAGATTTGATCTTATTGACTGTAGCAGTTGGTGAAATAATCTTAATACAAAAGGGTAAACTGATTTGAATTACAACCAGCATACACCGTGTGTGCACAAGAGTGAAGAGCCTTCTGAATGTGGACAGTCAATGGCACCAGTGCTTTACATTCAACAAAACTGTTCCTTGGTGGGTTTTTTTTTTAATTAAGCTTTATAACATAAGACTGTAACTTAAGCCATAGCAATGAGGAAATAAGGTTAGACTGAAAAGTTTTTAAAAGCTTGGCAGGTGAATAAGTTTAAACATATAAGAGGAAAATTTAGAAGGTAATTCTATGCATAAACAAAACTTATCTCACTGGCTCCACATTTCATAAAAGGTTAAGTTTTTGTTGCTTAAAAAAAATAGCAGAAGGCTGTGCTGATGAAGCTGGAATAAAAATATATTTTGATCCCATGATCTCCTTTAGACTCTGGAATTCATTTTTGTACATTTAGAAACATTTCCACAAAGGCTTATTTTCCATTACAAAGTGCCACAAGAAAGACCTGAAAAATCAGCTTTGGTGGTTTATGAGGAAAAAAAACCCAAGGAAGAGGCACAACGTTGGTTTTATCGGCTTCTTTTTGACATAGAAGAAAAGAAACAGAGGGAATTATCATCTGTCCTTAGGAAGTTCAGTTTTTTGGGGGGAAATAAACTGTTCCAAAAGCCATATAATATATTAAAAGTGTTGTTCAAACCAAGCATCAGTTTCTTTTCTACCTAAATAACTGCATATCTGATAGCAGAATAAAAGATAGAAGCTCCATTGTTTATCTTTACATAAAGAATTAATTGCTCCCTGAAAACTTAATTCAAGCTACATACATTTCACATAAAATCTATCTACAGCATTCAACAGACCACATCACATATTGGGGCTGACCACATAAACACTGAATATCCAATAATCTGAGGATACGTATGCTATATGCTGATAAAAGAGCAGCTGAACTAAAAAAAGATGAAAGCAGATGGAAACTAGAAGGCCTTTCCAGATGCCTTATTCTTTGTACTTTGGCTCGATCATAACAACAACTAAACCCCAGAATCATAACAGTAATTATATACAGCAAGATATACATACATATATACACACATATATACATTTATGTGCATATATGATATACATATATATGCCTTTGGATGTAACAACTGTCATGGATTTATCTATCCTATGGAACAACGGAAACAAAATAATCTCTTACAACCCTGTTAAATGAGTCCAGTATTGTGCTGCAACGTAGCTAAAATTTCTCAGCCTGAAATTTCCAATTATAAGTATTTTTGCCAGTTGCAGTCCTCTGAAATGGACTAATGCACTCAACCAAAAAGCTCCTTGAGAGAAAAGCCTAAAGATTAAATATCTTTGTGATCTAAAGGAAGGCCCCAAGCACGCTGGGATTTATGAGATGTCATGGTCAAGAGTCCCACAGGATGAGATGGCATGGATGGGCTGCAATCTGCATCCCTGGATGGAACACCCACATCTTTGATATCACAGATCCACTGAAGTAGTAGTGTCAGAATAACTATTAAAATATTCTTTTTAGTGCCACCATCATCTCTAACATGGTAGAAATTATTTTTTATGTTGATGGTACCAGTGATGATCAGAACAGTAAGAAAGAAATAAGGTAGCCCCAATCTTAGGACAAAATGATTTTGAGACTAGTTTTACACAAAGTACTGATAGCTTTTCTCGCTTAAGGTCTATAGCCCCCTCAACTTGTAAAGCCCAAACTAGGAGTTGATTGATTATATGAAGAAAACCTGGGATTCAATCCTGATTCAAAACCTTAAAGGCAGCACTTTGGCTCAAGTTTAAACTTAAACATGAACAAACTCTACACTATGATATGGATACTAACTATATGAGAATAGAAAAGGGAAAAAAAAATCAAAATATATTCAGAAGCTTGGGAACCTTACTTAGCTGAGCATAAGAAAATGGTTACTATTCACCATTCCTGCCCATTCCAAGGCCCACTGAAACCTTCCAAAGGTAGGGTCTAGCAGGGTACCACCTGAATTGGCAGCTGTTACATGGCAACTTCTGTCTAAAGAAAAGCAGTTGCATGACTTCCAGAAGGCCCCCTAACATCTGTGTATCTGAGATGTGGGATGGTTTCCTAAATTAAATTCAAATTTGCTACCTTTAAATGTGCTTACTTTCCTTCAGTGAATCTAAACAAAAGCTTAAGTGGTCAAATTACTATTCTCTCTCTGCAATAAATATAGCAACTATTGGATAGTTATGTGGGAGGTGTGGGGAAATTTACCTGCTGAATAACACTACCTACCACAAGAATTTAATAATGGCTATAAATTGTGTTGGGGAATTCAAAATTGTCAGATTAGAACACTACTTGTTTTCACTTCTCCCAGATATAGGGCATTTATGATTTGGGCAAGTTCTGCTAGTGATAAATTAGTTTTTATTCTGTATGTAATTCCTTCATGATTTTTCTGTATAGTTCTCTTAGATTAGTCTTATCTGTTCGTATTTAATTAGAGGCATAAGTATGTCGTTTTAAACAGAATGCATTATTATCATATGTGGATTATTATTTAGTAATAATAATAATAATAATACCCTAACTTTAATTCTTTTTTCATTTAAGGATCAAGATTTAGTTACCTTAAGCAATCTAAATTATTCCAGAACCAGATCAAAAGAGCCTAAAATTGACTGCATTCTGTGCTATGACAAATTAGGTAATAAAGATCAACCTGGATGTAATTTCTATAAATCTTATAATTAATCCTCTCACCTTTAAGGTCACAGTTTTCAGGCCTACAATGAATGAAAATAAATCTAATTTACATTTAATGAACAAGCAATAAGAGGACAAAAACTTAGTTAAAATAATTCTGAGGTTTATTCCTAGCATAGTAAAATATAAATTTTCTTGAGGGAAATCTGTGATTTAATTTAAAGGGCAGAATGTGAGAAAGGAGAGAAGGAAGAATAAACGAGTTAACTTTAGGCACTTTCTGTAATAAAAGAGCTCTGATCCAACTAGGTAATGTCTTTACAATGTAAAAATTTAAGACTAACAGTCAAGAGCACCAGCCTTACTTGAAGCTGAACTTCTCCCCAAGCCAAGATCTCATAAGGAGCACCTTGAGAGCAGACCCGGAGAAGAATCCCCTGCTTTCTCCCTTAATGACTAAGGTGCATTCTGGCTAGGCAAGCTAAAAAAAATGTTCAATTCAAGTTACTTTCTACTGGGCACCTTGTCGATAAAATCAAATAAAACTAACAGAATGAGAAGGAAGGCGCCGATGACAGGCATTCAGAAAAAAAAGTCTGAATTAGCGTATTTTGATAATACAAAACTGCATTTTCACATTAAAAAAAATCTTTGAAGTTCGCATTAGCTCATTACAAAATATTAAATAGTCAGAGGTCAAAATATTGAACTCACTTGTTATCATCATTCAGTAGTTGTTACTTTTTTCCCTTTAAAGGGTGGAACTGATGCTATTCCCATTGTCACATTTTACACAGATTTCCCTGCTACAGTATTTCACCACATTTGTTCTCAGTTATAATCCTCAAACAAAAACCTACTTGGCACTTAACTGTCACAAAAATGTAACAAAATAAAAGTTGGAAAAGCTAACTTCAATAAAGCCTAGTCCCCTCAGACATCAGTCTCTGAGCACAGTATATTCTGCTTTACACTTTTTGTGCAGATCTTCTAAAACACTCAACACTGCATTTTCTTATAGGTCCTAGAGAATACTGGCACAAGAGATGACCGACCCAAATGCACAGCTGTGTAGGTTTGTGTACAGTTACAAAAGAGCTCAAATGGTTGACATTTCTTCGAAGAGCAAAGCTTATAAACCCTACGATTTTTTTAAAATAAGAAATCTGGAAGTCACCAAAAAGGTCTTTGGCTCAGGGAGCTCTGTCTTGAAACTGAAGAAGGGATCAAGACAGCAGAACTTCACACACTCTTTTTCAAGCTGTTTCCATTTTAAAAACTTTAAATAAATTACCACTTTTAGCAATGCCCTTCCTTAATAAATATTCTGAAATCGTCCGTTCATGATCTGTTCTATCACAGTCTGTAAGCAGATGCTATAGAGTTGCTAAAATCCGTAAAAAGGAAACCACCACTACACAAAATGTCTGGCCAACACCGAGGGTGAGGGCTTCAAAAGGGATCATTTCTTTGCCTGCTGCTCGGTACACTCCAGCAATGGCTGCACCTGTTTAAAAATATAAGGGGGGGGGGAGGTTAATGCAAGAAGGAGAGAACAGGATTTGAGATTCTACTATAATTATAATTCAGATTTTGCTTTTTTTTTTGCACATGAAAGAGTAAATTTTGTAAAGATGACCTTTCTTCCCTCTTCCTTCCCCTATCTGGTCAGCAAGGTTTTGACTATTATGCACATGGTTTACAAATCACTAACTTTTGTATAAGATTTTTAGAAGATGCTTCTTGAAACTAGATTTTGCTGTGATTTAGTCAATCTTTCTGGAAGCAACCAACAAAGTCCTCCTCATGACCTCTCCTTGGCTTAGCAACTATTTCTAGGCCTCCTGGGCAGAAGCCTAGAAAATTTTATTGAAGACAGGATGGTTTCGCTCCCCCCACCTTTATTTGTCCATTAATCCTTGCAACATCCTGAAGAATGCAAGACAATCTCCACTCACGTGAAGCTGCTGCAGACAAACAGGGTTTCAGGCTTCCTTGATTTATGCGGTTTTCTTTTCATTAACCATCTCCTGTTAAAGGGAGATGGATCCAAGATTCTTCCTAATTCCCATTAAACATCAAAATAGGATTCAGGGCTCACAGAGCTAGGATTGCCCTGGCCCCAGATTGTTTATTTGTAAAATAGTTATGGCTCTCTACTATGTGCAAAGCAGTCTACAAATATAAATCATGGCTTCTGCTCACAACTTATAATCTAGCTAAAATAATGGCACAAACTCACATGGAAACTTTCAGACAATTATACGATTAAGTGTTAAGATGAATAGTATAGTCAATAACTATTATAAAAAAGCAGAAAACAGAAGTTCAATATGGGCTTAGTGATGAAAGGAAATTTGCATGTACTTGGGAGATGCTACATAGGAGAATCACATATCAAGAAAGGTGTTAGGCCAGATGACCTTTGGGGTGCCTTCCAATTCAAAGACCTTAAGTCTCCATATGAGGTTAGGAAAATAAGGTGGAAACAGACTCAAGCCTCTTGAATCCCTAACTGGGGATCTTTCTTCCTTGGGCAATAGAGAATCAAACATTCATGATATGGAGGGGAGAACCAGCCAGCTTAGGCCTCTTTGATGTAACATTAGTCTTCAGGGGTCTGGCACAGGCATAACTACCACAAGAACCTCATTCATTGTTTGGAGATTCATAAAAGAAAAGGACACCCCACCGACCATGGCTAGGTTGTTTCTGGTGAAGGAGGGAAAAGACTGGCCAAGGCCTGACTTTGCCATAGGTCCACAAATTTAATTTATTATTAGTCCTGCATCAGGAGCCCTGGGCCATAGATGTGGAACTGGAAGGCACCTGAGAAGTCATCCAGTCCGAGTCCTCATTAAAAGATAAGACAGCTGCAGCCCAAAGAGGTCCCAGGCCCCAGCGCTAAGGCCTCAACGTCAGAGACAGGACTCTACCCAGGTCTGCCTGGCTCACAATGCAGCCTTCTCATCACTGTGGCAGTCCTACTGACTCACAAATCCAGGGTACTTACCATTTCAACAGGCTCTCACATACACTATTCTCAGCTATCCTCACAGAACTACTGTGAGAGGCAAATCAATACATCTATTTTTAAAGATAAGGATACTCTGTCAAGTTAAGTAGCCTGCCCAAGGTCACACAGCTAGGAAAGGACAGAGATGAGACCTGGACCAGTGTCTTCTGGCACAGAAGCCCAGAATACTTCCATTTAAACAGGCTGCCTTTTAAAAGGAATATTCACAAATAGCAAGTAAATTTAAAAGATGACTATTCCTAATGAAACTCTATTTCCTAAGAAACTCCTAAATACAAAACCAAAAACACCCAACAACACCAGAAACAAAAATCTTTGTGTGAATAATTGTGTGAAGAGTTCTTGACTTTGTGATTAGCCTTCCCATCTTAACATTTCCTTCAGCAGGAGCAGCTGGGTGGCTCAGTAGCGCACCGGCCCTGAAGTCAGGAGGACCTGAGTTCAGATCCGGCCTCAGACCAAACACCTGACACTTACTAGCTGTGTGACCCTAGGCGAGTCACTTAACCCCAATTGCCTAAAAGAAGAATGTGAAAAAAATAATTTCTTCAGCAACAGGACAACATGTAGAAGTAATCAATTACTGTGCAATGCACAGAGTAGAGAATTAGTGGCACAGTGGATGGGGCACTGGGCCTGGAGTCAGGAAGGTTTGTGTTTAAATCCAGTCCCAGGCACTTTACTAGTTATGTGACTCTGGGCAAATCACTTAACCTCTGCCTCATTTTCTTCAACTGTAAAATGGGGATACCAGTGCCTACCTCCCAGGGTTATTATGAAGATCAAAAGAGATAATAATTACAAAAAGCACTTAGCCCTGGGCCTTGGACATAGTAGGCACAATATAAATGCTTATGCTCTTTCCCAATGCCAGTAGGCAAATAATACAGAAACAGTAGCTAACTGTAGTAGAAAGAAGTGATGACTTCCATTATCTTCCTTTCCAAAAGGCACTTTAATTCACAAGTTGGGAGGTGGGGGAGTTCATGGGTGTGGGGTGGGGGTGGGGGACTTTCAGAAAAAGTTCACTGCAGTGCAAAGACAAAATCTAAGCCAGGTAACAGGAAATAAGAGATCAAATCAGGGAATCTCTTTAAATTTTATTCTTTTTTGTTAGTCCCACTCAAGCAAGTTTCTCAAATAATCCTTAAAGTTAGTTGATTAGACATATCAAACTTGTTCAACCAATACTTTTTAATGTCTAACATACTTGTCAAGATTCCAGCAGTAATTGGTCCCACGATGCCCATCAACAGGATGCTTACAGACATGAACCTACCATATTTGTGATGCCTGAGGGTGAACAGGGCCAATAATCCAGCAGGGGCATGGAAGGAGAGAGAGGATACGAGTGCCCACAGGAACACACCATACCACATTTCTAGACAGGAAAATGAAAAGTCTTAAGTTGAGTTTCTCCCTATGATAACTGGAAAAAATAGTCTTTATAAAACCCCCAAACCAAATTTGAAAACCATTTAAATGCAGCAGTGTTTGCACACATCAACCATTTATATAAAAGTACTGCTAATGCCATACCAATCAAACTACCAAAAAATTATTTTATAGAGCTAGAAAAAAATAACAAAATTCATCTGGAAGAACACAATGTCCAGAAATCTTAACGGAATGAATGGAAAGAAATGCAAGGTAAGGTGGTCTAGCTATACTAGATCTTAAATTGTATTATAAAGCAGCAATCATCAAAACTACTTGGTACTGGCTGAGAAACAGAGTGGTGGATCAGTGAAATAGGTTAGGTACACAGGATGCAATAGTCAATAACTAGAGTAATCTACTGTTTGATAAATCCAAAGACTCCAGCTTCTGGGATAAGAACTCACTGTTTGACAACAACTGCTGGGAAGACTTGAAAATAGTATGCCAAAAACTAGGCATAGACCAACATCTTACATCTTATACCAAAATAAAGTCAAAATGGGTTCATGATCTAGATATAAAGGCTGACACTACAAGCAAACTAGGAGAGCAAGGAATAGTTCGCCTGTCAGATCTATGGAGAGGTGAAAAATTTATGACCAAACAAGAGATAGAGATTATGAAATGCAAAAGGGATTCTTTTGATTACATTAAATTGAAAAGTTTTTGCACAAATTAGAAGGGAAGCAGAAACCCAGGAAACAATTTTTACAACCAATGTCTCTGATGAAGGCATTTCTAAAATATATACACAACTGAGTCAAATTTATAAGAATACAAGTCATTCCTCAATTGATAAATGGTCAAAGGATATAAGTAGGTAGTTTTCAGATGAAGAAATTAAATGATAAAGTCATTAATTCACTAGAAATCACTATTGATTAGAGAAATGCAAATCAAAACAATGCTGAGGTACCACATCACACCTATCAGATTGGCCAACATGACAAAACAGGAAAATGATAAATACTGGAGGAGAGGTGGGAAAATTGAAACACTAATACATTGTTGGTGGAGTTGTATTTGGAACCATGCCCAAAGGGCTGTAAAATTGTGTATGCCCAGCAATAGCACTTCTAGGGCTGTATCCCAAAGAGATCGCAAACATGGGAAAAAGTCCTACATGTACAAAAATATTTACAGCAACTCTTTTTGTGGTAGCCAAAAATTGGAAATTGAGGGAATGCCCATCAATTAGGGAATGGCTAAACAAGTTGTGGTATATGAATGTAATGGAATCCTATTGTGCTCTAAGAAATGATGAGCAGGTGGACTTCAGAAAAACCTGGAAAGACTTGTATGGTCTGATGCTGAGTGAAGTGAGCAGAACCAGGAGAACGTTGTACACAGTAACAGCCACCTTGTGCGATGATGACTAACTTTGATACGCTTAGCTCTTCTCAGCAATGCAAGGATCTAAGACAACTCCAAAAGACTCATGATGGAAAATGCTATCCACATCTAGAGAAAGAACTATGGAGTCTGAAATCAGATTGAAGCATGCTATTTTTGCTCTCTTTTTCTTGCTGGTGTTTTGTTTCTTCTTTCTTGTGGTTCCTCCCATTGGTTCTAATTATTCTTTACAAGATAACTAATGTGAAAATACATTTAATATGAATGTATATGTACAGCCTATATCAGATTGCATGCAGTCTGGGGGGGGGAGGGGAGGGGAAGGAGAGTGGGGGGAGAAAATTTAAAACTCAAAAGCTCATTGAAGCGAATGTTGATAACTAAAAACAAATTAATTAATTAAATAAAAAGTACTGCTACACTTGGTGAAGTACCATGTAACTGTCCCCAATTCAAACTCTAAGGAAGAGAGTCAATTCCACACCTGGCTCAATGTGAGAAACATACCCACCTCCCCAGAGCAGAGGGTACAATGGAAGCTCCTCATTCTGAATTCTGCACTACAGTGAATAATTCGGCTGTGTGGGACCTGCCCAAATACAGAAACCAAAACCAAAAAACCCTTGATTCAGGGCTTAAAAAAACAATTTGACTTTTGAAAAATCAAAAATATCTTTGTTGGGTAAAAAATCATGACTCATTTTAAAGTAACTGTCCATAAACTCCCTAAGTCTTGATTTTCACAAACTTCATTAAGGATTGGTCCAATTTTCTCTTTGCTCTTGGGCAGTTCTCTACCCATTTGTGCTTTACCATGGCACCTGGCTCATAATAGGCACTTAATAAATGCAGGTTTATTTCCTTCCTGTCTCAGCAAAGAGTTGATGGACAATCACTCCATAAGCACGTACTAGGCTCCAACGTGTACCAGGCATGGCACTAAGAGGGAAGCCGGGGGGGGGGGGGGGAGATACAAAGACAAAAGTGAAGCAGTATCTACCCTCAAGAAACTTACATGTTAACAGGGAGGCAACAGGAACAAAGATCAGCATACACAGAATAGTCACAAAATGAATTCATAGTAGTTTTGTGAAGTGGAAAAAGACTGCCCCGCCTACAAGTAGCTCACAGTCTAATGGGAGAGTCAATATGCAAAAAATATTTACAAAGCAAGTTACATACAGGCTATATAGGAAATGATTAATAGAGGCAAGGCACTAGAATTAAGAAAAGTTAGGAAAAGATTCCTGTAAAAGGTGGGATTTTTCATGATGGAAAATGCTAGCCACATCCAAAGAAAGAACTATGGAGTCTGAATGCAGATCGAAGTACACTATTTGCTATTTTTTTTCTTCTGTTGTGTTCTGTTTCCTCTTTCTGGTGGTTCCTCCTATTGGTTCTAATTCTTACCTACAATATCACTAATGTGAAAATATGTTTAATAGGAATATATATGTTTAGCCTATATCAGATTGCTCACCATCTTGGGGAGGGAGGTGGGGAGGGAGGGGGAGAAAAATTTAAAACTCAAAAGCTTATGGAAGTGATTGTTGATAATTCAAAATAAATTAATTACAATTTTTTCTTAAAAAGTGGGATTTTAGTTGGGACATAAAGGAAGTCAGTAGGAGAGATGAGGAGGGATGCATTCCAGGCATGGGGGACAGTCAAAGAAAATGCCTGGAGCCAAAAGTGTCTTGTACATAGAAGAGCCAGGAGGCTACAGGGAGTAAGGTGTTAAGAAGCCTGGAAAGATACAAGGGGGGGCTAGGTTGTAGAAGGCTTTGAATGTCAAACAGAGCATTTGGTATTTGAGCCTGGAAGCAACAGGAAGCCATAGGAATTTACTGAGTGTGCTTAGGAGGGTGGGGTGTATATGACATGATCAGACTTGTGCTTTAAGAAGATCATTTTGGTGGCTAAATGGAGGCTGGATCAGAGTGGGGAGACACTTGAGGCAGGCAGACTCACCTCCAAGCTACTGCAATAGTCGGGGTGTTCGGTGATGAGAGTCTGCAGGGGCAGGGGGGCCCCGAAGCGTCAGGGCAGAGAAGGGGGCATACTGGAGAGGTGATACAAAGGGGAAATAGATAGGCCTTGGAAAGAGATTGGTGGAAACCAGACTGACTTGTAGGTTTTGAGACTGAGGGACAGAGAGGATGGTGTTGCTCACCACAGTAACAGGGAAGGTATCATTTTTCCTGTACTCAGGAATTCACTAGAATTAGATTCATACATATTCATACACAAAGCTTATCAAAAATGGTTTAATCAGGAAGCCACTACACCCTCTCAAAGAAGCAGAATTTTAACCAATCATTAAAATAAAACCTTGAAATATTTATCAAGGGGTCTGATAACAAAAAATAGCCACATGGCATACCTACACCCCCTTCTTACCCACTGAAGACACCAGGAAGAAGAATCAACCAAGAAGGCTTGTAACATCACTTCTGATTAGAATTTCAAATCCTCCCAACAATCACCCATCAGTAGTATGACGGGTGAATCATAAATGAAAACAAAGTGAAGAAAATTAAGGATTTGTAGGGTTAACAGTGAATTTCATTTAGACCTTTTCTAGCTTTAAAATTAGACATTAAATTACTACATGCAGGAAAAATTACATCTATAGTGCTTCCTCCAAAAGTTACAATCACTTAAAAAAAATTTTTCAAGGTAGAGTTTGGGATGGGTTTTTTTTTTTGAGGGGAAGGGGGAGGTCTGAAATAACTTAGGTAGCTTCATATATAAATGTGTATACACACACATGTAAGCCTTAAGATAGGAGGACTTGAGACTTTTAAATTTAATTAGTTAAGATTTTAATCAACACAACTAGGAAAAAAATTTTATTACAAAATGAAAGATTCACAGTATAGTATATATACATTTTTTTTAATCAACAGGACTATTATAGGCTCTCCATGGCAAAAAATAAACGCCATTCTATAGGGCACTTCTGCAAAGCCAAGCAATTTCCCTTCAATCTCTTGTACATTAATGTGCCATCTATTTCAGAGCTTTTTATTGATTGCTGTAGAATTCAAATCCTGTCAGCATCGTTCCCCATCCTCTGGCCTCCCTTGCTTTAGCCTCCAAGGATAAGGTGGCTCTTCCCTCGGCCACTGAAAACCTCTCTACTTGTGTCCTTGATCCCAAGAGGACCTTGGTACACATTCTGTATTAACGTATATATGCATGTGGTGTTGTCCTTCTGCCAACACAGAATATAAGCTCTTCTAGGTCAAGGGCTGCTCTGTTTTGCCTTTGTATCTATCCCCAGCCCCAAGCATAATTCTGGATTCACAGGAGAAGGTTAATAAATGCTTGTCGAATAAAATAAGGCTTAATACTAAGAGTTTTATGTGTGATAAAACACTCCTAGGCATGATTTTTCCAAACTGACAGCAAATTTTGGCTAAAGAAAAGTAGGGTGGTGGGATATGTCTTATTGGAGGGAATGCCTGCATTTAGAAAACATAAGTATAAATGAAGTGTTTTTTAAAGGCAGCTGCAATTTCTAAATCTGTGATCCCAGATTTGTCCTCAATACTTCTCTCCCTCATCTCCCCATACCCAATCAGT